GAAATTTCTGTGGTGGCAATCGTCCATACTATTCGTCCTTGATTTTTGTCAGGTCATCCGAAGTCATTATAGCGGGGTTGTGGATATTGTAAAATTTATTTTTGAGGGCTCTATTCGGGACTGGACTCTAATCGGGAAAATCCGTTAGTTGCGTCAGAGTCGCCAACATCTAAGAACCTAGCTTTTTACTGAATAATATAGTAATACATAATAAATATAGCAAAACCTAATTAATATAGTAATATGCATTATTATTGGCAATCCTGCCACGTGGTGGCTTCTTGTTACGGTGTAGCCACAAAAATGTGTTATTACACCAACTGTGTAGTACACACCTATGTACGGTCGCACAATCTTGCGCAACCCGCCCTTTCTCACAAGGGCACGTGTAAACCCGTTACATAGCGACATCTATTGTTTGTAATTTTGAAATAGTACGCAGCATTTGTACACCGTGTCATAATCTATCACTTCCGGATACTCGTTAGGTTACTCTGGATAGCGCTATGTATATACGAGCTGTTCGTGTGAGAAGCACAGAAATGAAATGACCCGCCCCCAAATTCTGCATCGATTGTTCGTGACTAGTCGATGATCTCGGCTAATTCTGGTCACAGTGAACGATCATTCAATAGAAAATTTGTGTAGATCGCTTCAATGTCTTGGTCTAGTAGTCTAGGCTACCTCTCTTATCTCATATCCCCCATGAGGCTTGTCTGCCTCATGGGGTGCTTGGTCAACAATTTATTTAGAGCTTGGTGAGACTATTACTGCCACCTCATGCTGTACTTGAGTCGAAATGCAAAAGAGCAGATAGTGTATTTGAGTTGCACCAGCTTGCGGACTCATGTTTAATGTACCATTGACTTAGTAAGTGCTTTCCGCAAGTGTGAGAACTTTCAGCACCTATCAACACTTTCCACTAAAGCACCTATAGTCACCAACAATATGCATCTCTTTTTCTACCAAAAGGTTATCAAATTTGCCGGCCACTCGTGACAAAGGATTAAAGGTGTTTAAAGAGCTTTATGCTGTCAAGCTAAAACGGGGCTGCCGTGCACCTCGCACCGAGAAAGATTTGATTCGAAAGTCCATGGTTTGTATGCTTCACTTAGGGGTTGGTCTGAGGGCCTTTAAACAGCTAAGTTTTTGGTTTCCATTTTTGATTTCCAGAGTGACCCATATGCACAATTTGGACCATTTAAAATAATACACTATATACTGTATATGTTTTTATATTCCATAAAAACGCTAGTTTAACATATCGTCCCTCCCCACCTCATCCGTACCAGTATTTGCTAGTATATATTATCATGAGATGGTACTTGAAGAATTTTGAGTTTGGCTTTAGGTCCGAAAGACGAGTGTAACAAGCACATACATCACGCAAAGGTACAGATCTAGTTGAATGCCACCTTGCAAAAATGTGTACCTTACACGGTTATCCTCCGTCTGTCTTTCAAAGACATCGTCTACCAATGATCACTCCAAAAGAACGTACTACTCCAAACGTTTTTCTATCCAGCAGTGAAACGCGGTTACACGTACCGTGGTATGAAGGGGTGGATCACACAAGTTGATTTGACCACACGATGTTAAGGTGTGGCTTCACTTTACGAAGAAGCCACTACGTGGCGGGACTGCCAGAGGTTATGTATGCACTTTAATTAGCTTTTACTATTAAGTCAGGAAAACCTATAGAATCAGATGTAGGCGGCTCTGCTGCAATTAAACAAAAAGGAGTACGAATTGGGTTTGGAATGGAAAAGTGTATTTGCCTTGGTTTGTGGTTTTGAATAGTCTTGGAGTCAGTAGATTGCGCTCCACTACACTCATACTGGTTTAAGTATATATTCGGTGACCTTAGCTTAGCTTTCTCTAAGCAAAGATCTACGGCAGCCCCGCTGCAAGTAGTGCTTGTTCTTTTTAGCATTATCCGTACTTAAAGTTGTGTATACATGACTAAATGAGTATATGGGTAATGCGCACCGACGCATCACAGCGAGGTGGTGGTCATGATCTTTGGTGAGAGCGGTCAGAGTAATAGTTAAAGTCCCGATTAGGTACTTTCGCCATCACTGAAGGTAAATAGCAGATATGTCTTCTCCAAGGACTTCTCCAAGTTGATAGACTCTTATTCACTTCATCTCCGCACAAGCCGCGAGCAAATCCTACGGCAAAAAATGATACGACGCCTGCTACGCATATCAACACGACGTCTACCTCATTTTTTATCACCTGTACGTGGCTTCGCGAGTAGAGCTTGCCCGTCTTTTGGCGCAAAAGTTGACATGACACTTGCTGACTCAATCACGCGCCAATTATGGATTTGGTTCAATTAAAACAGTCCGCCGTGCTGTGGTAGAGCACTAACACTGTAATATATGCGGTCCTTCTCATAAAACAATTAACGAAACAAAGATTGGGATATCACTCCCGTGAGTGCTATCTGATCCCGCAGATCACCACGCATAAGAAGTTTTGCCTGTGCCTACAGCAGCGACAATTGGGCAGCTCTTACGTTACATGAAAACCGTGTACATAGTTCGGAATGCTGGTGAAAATGCCGGAGAGTATTGCATTTATTTCGCGGACCAGATCCCCTTTATTCATCTCACAAGTTTTACAAGCTAGCCTCAGTGAGGCAGACGACAGACAGGAACGTCAGATATTGCTCAACCTCACGAATTACAAAGCGTGACGTAGCGTCGCGGTGGATGTTTGAAGTCTTAAGCCCTTGCTACCAACAATTTTACTCGCTTTTATGCTCTAATTGGTACAGCTACCGGTAAAGCCTCAATTGAATCAAGATCAGGTCCTGAGAAGCGCGTTGTGTCGAGCGATACCGTCCCTTCATCCGGAAAGCCACAGATTGTGTGCTGAGTCGTTAGCGACAGAGAGCACAGTGCCTTCTTGCTAAGATGTGAATCAAACTCTCTTCACCAGTATTGATTACATCCCTGATAATCTTGCCGGTCTCACCAACCGTTCCACATCATAGTGATCTCCCGTTTTCTCATAAAAATACGGCAGCTGATGAGCTGGGTCTCATGAGCTATTACTAGATGAGCCAGGTTTGGATACACGCATCGGCTACGACTAGCTTGAGGCACCTCACATGGTCTCTCTGTCCTAAAGCAGAAGGTAATTAGGCGATAAAGCGTTGCTTCGTCGTCAACGGTGCGTTTCACGCTTGAATGGCGTGTACAAGCAAAATCGTTAAAAATTTAACAAGCCAACGGGAAATTACATTCCCTTTGGTTTTTTAGGGGGGGCTAGCTCCATTTCGTTCAGGCTACGACTGTGGACGTTTTGATGTAATTTAGTCGCACCTTACCCTTGTAGACTGCAGACACTGAATCTATACATAAATCCAAAGCGTTTAACGAACCGTTTCACTCATTCAGCATTTGAGTGTTGAATGCAATTTGTCCTTGTTTGGTCTGAGTCAGCTATAGATTAAAAATCAGAGACGCTACGTGCCTCACATTTCTCGGCTGGTTGAGCTTTGATGAGTCATCAACTCATCTCTGCTAAGAAAATGAAGCGTTTTCGCGCGGGGGTGAATTTGTGATAGCTTGTAGTACGTCAGAAAGATTTAGCAATGATATTGCTTTGTGCAGTGAGATAAGCTCAAGAGGCAAAATCGGCAGTGAGCCGTGGTCACGAGAGTGTATCACTGGGAAGACGCGTTACTACAGCTGTGAGTCGGGGAAGTTTGGTTTCTAGCGGCAGGCCACGCTCTGATTAGCATAGCTATCGACAGCCAGGAGTCGAGGTGATGAGCTTTTGCCTCGACGTTCATGCCGTGCTTTGAACTGTTCAAATTCAAATATCAAACGACATTCCAATCTGACGTTGTCCCCCAATGTTGGCATGTAAAGCTGCAAGACGAGTGGTCGGTGTGTCTTTGTCAACCAGCACTTATGCTGTATGTGATACTGTTTGGAGTTTTGCTAGCATCTGGTAGCCCTTATTTGAGATATAAATTAATTCAACCGCTGGTGCTTCAAGTTTAGGCGGTATTCTTGATGATGTCCCGAGAGGTAAATAAAACTATCACGGGTGACATTTTAGCGCTCTTTTTTGCTCTATGTCTGAGCAGCAGGCCGCCATACATAGGTGTGAGAGCGCTACGCTCCGACACGAAGAGCAGCATCTTATGGGTAAATCAATATAACGAATAGATTGGATCTGACGATATCAGTGCGACTCTACGCTTGCTAATAGGCAACCACGACGTGCTGAACCAGGCCCAGCACAGTAGCTCTGAGCTGGACGTCATCAAAGCTCCACGGCAGATTTCCATGGCTATTAATTCCTAAGAGAATGGGCATATTACTGCGCAGTCGTGCTGGGGAGAGACGGATAGTAGAGAGCTTTTCCTGCTTAGTGAGTAATTCTCGGTGAGGTCGAAGGTGTCGGGGCGAGACACTATGTTGCTCCTATCTTGCAACACCTCGATATTCCGCTTCTATGACGTCGGCCGCAAGAATGGTGCCTACTTAGAGGATCGTTGATCCATCGTGACACGCAACGGAGACGACTTCAGATGCGGATAGGGATTATACGAGCAAGCACTTTATGGTTCAAGCGATGGAGCCAAAATTTAAGTGCAGTGAATGGACGTTGAACTCTCAATTTTGCGCAGGGTTTTAAACGTCATGATAAGTGCGAGATACAATGCGATTCATCTTGTTAGGTATGATGTAAGTGCACATCGCACATCTGTAAAAACTTTGAAGTACCAAAATGTCGGTGCAAACAGGACAACGGGGCTGTGTACAGAAGAGGTCCAAGGGACACGCGGGCTGTTAGTCTATCGTAGTAAAACATTTATCAGTTAAATGTTAGCGCTATGTCACTCTTGGAATAGACCAGCAAACTAAGTTGCTAGCTGGTAGAGAAGCTCTCGACTCTTTCCTGGTTGAAGTTTCCTCTGTTAACTCGGGCCCGCTGAGTAAGTCGTTTCAAATTAAAGTCACATGGCGAATAAAGGAGCCGTCGAGCCATTATCTGTATAAGATGTATGACGTTGTAACGTGGGTAACAGAGCACTGAATAATCTAAAGGTACTTCCCTCAATACGTAGCTTCTACGTTTCACATTATTTTAAAGCGGTGTTGGACAGCACTTTAAAATAACGTGAAAGACATGGTAAATGTAACGGGGTCGCACATACTCTGATATTAGGGGGTGAGTCTCACAAGGTGGTGTGACCACACAATGGTGTGGCTACACCTTAACATGAAGCCACTTTGTTGCGGGACTGCTAGTAGTTATGAACTTTATTGAAGTTTTGCTACGTAATTGGGAAAAGCTATAGATTTAGATATAGGCGGCTATAACGGGGTAAAACGTACCCTGGTAACCGGGGTGTGTGTCACACGAGATGGGCATGGTGTGACTGCACTCAAAAAAGAATACGGTACGTGGCTGGGTAGCCAGTAGTTATGCATGTATTTAGATTTTACCATATATATTTAGGAAAATCTATACACTTAAAATAAGGCGGCTTTGCCGCAGATAAAACAAATGGATACAGTTTACATTC